TGAAGATTTTATGATCTATGGTTTAAAATTTCATATAGAAATGCCTGTCAAGTGAACATTTTGGTGTCTTGGCAGGTCTGAGCACAGTTTGAGACATCATTAAGATCTCTTCTGAAACTTTCACTCCATTTGCTCTTCATCCAGAGAACAAGAAAACAAACGTTTTGTTTTGTTTTTGTTTTGTTTTGTTTTGTTTTGTTTTGTTTTGTTTTGTTTTGTTTTGTTTTGTTTTGTTTGTTTTGTATAAATGAATACTTTTATTTTGCAAGAATACATTAAATTGATTAAAAGTGACAATAAAGACATTATTAGTTACAAAAACAGTAACAGTGACTGTAAAGATATTGTTACAAAAAAACTTTTTCAAATAAACACTGTTCTTTTGAACTTTCTACTCACCTAAGACTCCTAAAAAAAGTATCACCGTTTCCACAAAATATTAGAATATTATTCTAATATTGCATAATATTACAATACATATTAGAGTGGTTTCTAAAGGATCATGAAATGCTGCTAAAAATTCAGCATTGCCATCACAGGAATAAATGAAAACAAACGTTTTGTTTTGTTTTTGTTTTGTTTTGTTTTGTTTTGTTTTGTTTTGTTTTGTCCTTAAAAAGTCTTCTATGACAAATGTGCACACAGTTTGAGACATTGTCGAGATTTCTTCTGAAACATTTGCTCCATTTGCTCTCATCTCATTGCTGTCTAGAAACGATTGATTTTTCATTCCTATGGGAAGATTTCTTTCTCTTTCTTTTTACTCGACCTCCCCACCATCGAACATCGTCAAGATAGCGAAGAAAAGATAGACAAAGTAATAAGATCATCTCTCATATCCTTATTAAGGGTGGCTCCTGGGAGAGCGCGTGTGTGTGTTCTTGTTAAGAGCGAGTGCGTACGGAGCGTGTGCTGGGAGGCCTGGATGAGAAATCACCTCAGCGCCCCTCTGTAGCTCTCTCACTCCCTTCCTGTGCCTGTTAGTCCGGGAGTGAGCCCCAGCGTCTCCTCGCAGCGCACGTGTAATCAATAACAGCCCCCCAGCTCTGTCCCGCTCACACACACAAAGCGCTTCCACCTCAGCACATAGTGTTAGACACACAAACTTTTACATCATGCCGCACTCAGCGCTCCCCTGAACATCTGAGGCGTTCAGATTACGTGGAGGAAGAGCAGGCACAGCTTTGGTTAATGTCATTCATAGCCTTTCACTGTGGTGTGAGGGTTTGGAGAGATGAGAGGCCGATGCCGTCGAGAGCCGTTGGCTTCCTAGGCTTCTATTAAAGAGCTGTCAAGTACAAGTGCTCGCGTGACGGAAACTGGGGCACCTTTCTCTCCATCATCACCTGCTTCACTGACCGGCGCCGCTCTTCGTCTTGCATCTCCTTTGTTTATTTTTGGCCTTTGGAATTTATTTCTATTTATAAGTAACGGTCATTGCATGTCAAGGGCGTTGTGAAATCATGGATGATTGGAAGGAAATCTGTTTTTTTTTTTTTTGTTCTCTACATTCAAATGAGGTCTCAATTGTTTCTCCTATAGAGCAAATGGAGATTTTTTTATTTTTTAGATTTTCTTGAACAAAAAAAATGGTAATCTATCAGATGAGATCTCAACAGTGTCTCACACTGTGCTCAAGCTTGAAGTACGCAATCAAAGTCTCAACATGAACAATTATCATCAATGTCCTCCAAGATCAAATTATGTGAGATATACTATCCATATGCGCTATTATACTCTTACCATATGTCAACAACGATTTTAAATCTCACCAGTGTTGTTGTATTATTATTGATGTACTGTTAAAGTATTGATTAATATTTTGAATTAGCCTTTCTTTGTATATTTTCAGTTTTCTTTTAAATTTGAGAGGTTTAGCAGTTGTTATGTGCTTTTGTCATTTTCATTTTTATTTTATTTTTATATAGTTCTATTTAGCTTTTTTTTCAGTTTTATTTTTAGTAATTTTAAAGTAACATTTGTTTATTTCAGTTAGTTTCCAAGGCAACATTTTTAATTTTCATTTAAGTTTGATGAGTTTTTCTTTATTTTTTATGTATTTTTAATTAATGAATTTCTTATATTTTTCTTTCTTTCTTTCTTTCTTTCTTTCTTTCTTTCTTTCTTTCTTTCTTTCTTT